TAACACTAAAGCCCAGCTAAGGAAGCAAGCCACAAATAATGCTTCAAGTGGTAGTGCTTATTTATTACTACGTTCTTCCCCTCTTTCTCCTGCTTTATTTGCTGAACAATCATTGGTGAAATAAAGATCAGCTGTTGAGCAAGCTTTTAATATTAGTGTTCCAAGCAGTCCTCAGACCTTTTGGAAATCTGAAAGAGGAAGGTTTTACAGGGGAACAGGACCAGCTGCTCGGTTCAATTATCAACCTAGAGAAAACTTTAGAGGAGGAAATAATCAAGACGTAATAGGAGTTACCGTTTGTACAGAAGTGGAAGGAGACCTTATTCCACCACATCAGTATCCACTCCCTTCCAATGAACCCAGACAGCTGGGTTGTCTAGGGGGTTAGGAAAACAGATGGACTTCTTCCGCATAGGCTTACAAGACAATCAAAGGGGGCCTCACATGGACTTGGTTGAGGCTCCCTCCCCTAACGTTTCCAAAAAAGGGTAAAAAACCAACCCCCTTACTTACAGAATTTGTAATTCAACTATTAAACAGAGGTGTCATAGAACTGTTACAGTCAGAGAAATGTTTCATGTCTCGCCTATTCCCAGTCCCCAACAAAGGCAGCGACATATTATGATGGATTTTGGATCTTTCAGTCCTGAACAAATCTTTTACACAAAAAAAAAAAAAAAAAAAAAAGTTTCAAGATGCTCACATACGATCATCTGAGGCATCTACTTCCGCCCAATGCTTGGATCTCAAAGTGGATCTCGAAGATGCCTATTATCACGTGCCTGTTGCCCCCAGGTACAGAAAGTTTATAGTGTTCAGAGTGGGGGATGTAAATTATCAATTCACAGTGATACCATTCGGCCTGACGATTGCACCAAAAACAAAACTGGCGAACATCCCCAGAGAGATCCTTGCGAAGGAGGGCATAAAAACCTTTGCTTATCTAGACGATTGGGAAGCTCTTTCGAAGATTGTCAAAGGGCTACCCAACGTACACTAGTACTATTTCAAAACCTGGGATTAAAGATAAACCAGGTCACATCAAATTTAATACCATGTCAAAAGTTGGATTGGTTAGGTCTCCGGTGGGATACAAATCAGCAGTCAGTCAGTCTACCAGAAGCAAAAGTAACGGATGTGATTCACCAAGTAGAAGCCTTTTCTGTAAAGCACAAGGTTTCTCGGCACAATTGGATAAACTTCAGGGTGTGTTGAATTTTGCCAAAATAGTGGTTCCATTGGGAGAGTTAAAGAAAAAGCAACTATCTCATCTGGGCTCGAAGTTGCTTCACAGAAGCAGAAATATTGATTCTTCTCTCCCCATTCAGATAAGAATCATCTGTTATGGTTGAAAAAGTTGGACAATCTAATGGGTTCTGCCTCAAACAGGTCTGGTCGTTTGTACGGATGCGTCCGAAATAGGATGGGGATACCATTCCTCAATAGGGGAATTCAGTCAAGGGAAGTGGAGCAACTTCCTTTGGGACAAACTCATAAATGTAAACGAATTAGCAGTGGTCCTATTCTCTTTGTCGGCAAACCCAAATTTACATAATACATATGGCGATCTTGTTTGCCGTGGACAACAAAACGGCAGTGTTATGTCTCAATCATCAAGGCTCAACCAGGTATTGGCCCTTTCTACAACTGTCATAAAAAATCTTCAGTGTTTTTGTAACACAAACACTTTACCTCAAAGCAACTTATATACTGGGAGTACAAAACAATTGGGCAGATGCGCTGTCCCGTCTCCGGCCAGTATCGACAGAAACAGAATGGTCCCTAAAGGTATCGGAGTTCAAGAGTCTAGTGAAGAAGTTTGGAACTCCAAAGATAGATCTCTTTGCCTCCCTAAAAAATCACAAGATGCAACTTTATGCATCTCTGGAGAGGTTGAATCTTTTAGGAAATCCTCTATTCTTAGATTGGAACCTTTGGAATTCAATCTATCTGTTCCCACCTGTGAAAATAATGCCCAAAGTGGTTAACAAACTCAGATCCTTCCAAGGCAAGGTCCTCTTAATTGCACCATATTGGATCATACAACCTTGGTGCCTGGATCTCTTGGACTGGTGCCCGAATCCGCTACATTTGCAACAAGGATGTCTATAACAGGTACTACATTCTCAGTTCGAGATATCCTTGGCACTTCACGCTTGGAGTTTCTCAAAAGAAGTTTAAATAGGTTATTGGGTAATCCCAATATAGCTAACCAAGTATTAGCAGGTCATAGACCTCAATCTTCTATTCAATATGAGAAAGCTTGGAATCTTTTTCAACAATTTATCAAGTTAATAACTCCAGAATCATTGTCGGAAACAGCTGTGTTAGAATTTTTAAAATTTCTGTTCAGGGTTAAAGGCCTTCAAGGTTCGACAATTGCATCTTATAAATCAGCATTGGTTGACCCTCTGACTTGGGGTTTTAATATTACTTTGAACCCAAGGATTTTTTAAATGCTAAGATCTTCCTTTTTCATTCAGAGACCCCCTCTGCCTAAGAGAATCCCACCTTGGTCTCTGGAAAAAGTTACTAAATTTCTTATGGGGCCTAATTACAATATAAATCTGAACAGAAATAAATTACTATAGAAAACAGCCTTCCTTCTAGTAATAGCAACAAGTATGAGAATAAGTGAACTGATTTCAATTTCCAATAATCCATGATTATTGGTATTTTCTGAGTAGGATGTTACCCCTTTTTCCTATGGAGATCCTAAGAAAAAATGAAAGGGAAGATTTCCAAGCTCAACCTATTAGGATAAAATGCCTATTGGATGAAACGAGGGTTCCTCATATATTGTGCCCAGTATAAAATCTTCAGGAATGGTTATCCAGATTCCCTAATCGAGGCCCCTATGTTTTCTCATCCAGGGATGGTAAGAAATTGTCTTCTAGTCAAATGACAAAATCTTTATCTCAATCAGTGAATCAAGCAGACTCTGGCAAGAAATTTTTGGCACATAACACTAGGAAATACGCAGGGTCTGTGGCCTTTCTGCGGCATATGAGCCTCAGTTAGATCAAGGAAATGGGCTTTTGGAGATCTTCAAAAACTTTCAAGGACAGCTTCTTCATCACCATAATAAAGTGAATATCCTAACTGAGATATGTAAATTAACATTTTACTTTCCGGTAAATGTTCCTAATTTTGGAAATATTCTACACGGTTTATAATCATAATCTGGACCTAAGTTAGCGGAACCTTGTATGCAAAGTCACCTCCCTCTCCACCTCCTGCTCGGGTATTCAAAGCTAAGCGTCCCATTCTGGGTTGAACAAAAAGCCATTTTTTTTCTAAACACCAGTTTTTGTGATATGACCCAAAATGCGACGCTGATAACCCACCCATCTCCACCCCTCGAAAGTTGACTTTTGTTTTCTGCTCGCTCTAAGGCAAGAGATAAAGGTCGTGATGCGTATGATGGGGGTTGAAGGAGGGGGTTTCGACAATTGCAATTACATGCCAGGTAGCGACGTGTCCTCCTAATATTACTTATTAAGTAATTATTAGATGTTTTAATTGCCTGTATGTTGGCCTGGCGAGTTATTGCTAGGCATTAACATACCTAGGTTAAAAGCTAAGCGTCACATTCTGGGTCAAATCACAAAAACTACTTTTTAGAAAAAAATGGCTTTTTCTGTGTTTCCAGTCAAATTATTGGTCATTTTAAAATATATTTTACATATTGATAATATATAGCGCAGTGCAGTGTTGATTTAAAGAAAATAATCTTGAATTACACCAAGTGAACTAAAATTTTATGGGTGAAATGGCACCATGGGGTGACTTCTCTTCCACCCCAATGCCTTCTTTTCTCCCTTCTCCTCCACCCCCATTCTAATTCCCATCATCATCATCATCAACCAGGAGCCTTCTACATGCACACATCAAAGTAAGTGTACTTTATTGCATTTATTTTTCGTTTGTATGTAATTTTCGGTAAGCTGAAACCAATTACCCAAAAACCCATTGAAACAATGGTTTCGGTTAACAAGCAACCTTCTGGAACAAATTGAGCTCGTTAACCGAGGGACCACTGTATACATCTTTATGTAGAGGTCATAAGTGTTTTTCATGTCCCTATTAATTTTAATGCTTCGTTCTGTTAATGAATCCACTTCAGAAAATAATATTATGTTCATTGATTGCTCCATATATTATCCACAGATCTCTCACTCTTTTCATGTAGTTTTAACACATCTAGTTTCTCGGCTAAGCCTATACACTTTCTTTTAGCTTTTGACAACACTACTATCACTTGCTCTCTTGCTTATGTTAAATAGGGACACAAAAATGCCGTAAAAAACCTGAGAATGTTTTTTTCCTTTTCCTGTTCAGATGCTTGAAAACAAAGGGCCGGCCAGCTGCAACTGTTTATACTAGCGATGCTGGCGTCACCCTCACAAGCCCGGCAGCCTCCGTGCGTGAGGCGTGTTTTTTTTTTAATACATATCGTGATTTAATTATTATTTATGTAAAAATGTAAGTTTACTATATTTTTTATAATATTTTTGTCGTAAATATGAAGAAAATAATGGTATAAATTGAATTGGGTCCTAAATTAACCAGGGCCTTAAATATGAATCATCGTTAGTAGAACCATCATTATCGGAGGCTTTCCTACCCTTACCTCAGCCCTTGGTCATAAAATGGGGCTTAAGAATGAATGAAAGTACAAGTTGTCCTTAAAGGAGAAGAATTGAGCGTAATACCAGATGCTCCAATTCAAACGCCCCTATTTAATCTCTTAATCATCCAGTGTCGTGCTTCCATATACACCCTACAATCAACCTCGTCTAGGAGCATATTTATACCAATCTCCCCATTCCCATTCATGGCAGTTTTAAATTACCCTGTCACCCACTCTTACCTTTAAATCTCTCACCACTTGCATTATATCTCTCACAATGAGGGTGGCAAGCTGCCTCTTGCAGGTCATTTGTGAGACTCCGTAAGCCACAAAACTAAACCGTAATAACAAGGATTTCACTTCTTACCTGCCACTTCAGAAGGCCATCTTCTTCTTCCTCCTCATACTCATTCTTTTCATCTTGGAAAGTATCAGAAGTGTTTTGAGGATGGCTAACTGCAGGTACTTGTTTTAGTGGCAGACTTTGTAAAGCAGGTAGTGATGTTACAGACAGGTCTCTTGTGTGTGACAACAATAATGAAGAGGAGGAGGAGGATGAAGCCACAACTAAGGTTGATGACTCAAATGACTCCTCAGTGATTCTTGTCTTGGAATCTTGTGGTTCTATAAATGGTGCACAAGAAATGTCTGTCAGACACTGTGACCTACTTGATTCTTGTAAGTAAGATGCATCAGATGTAAATAAGTGAGGCATCACAACTGATGATGAAGGCAATGTTGATGGTAAAGGTAACAGATGTGGTTCCAGATCTTCTGTTTTTATCGGTCTTAAATCAAAAGTTGTACATGTAAATGAAGGTGAACTGGTTGTCACTTCTTTATCTAATGACACATTTGCAACAACATTTTCATTCATTTTGCAGACATTAGTGTTCAGAGCATAAGTGTGGTGGTTCTCATTTTCTTTTGAGGATTGATTTAAGTCCTTAGAACTGTGTTCAGCACTCTTACCTTTTTTCTTTACTGTATTATATAATTCTTTATTCCTAAACCTTCTTAACTTTGGTATATTTACTTCATAAATGTCAGAATTGTATCTATTCTTTATTTTTCTACGACACCGACCCAGCTCATCATCCCCATATTTTTTTGACTCATTAAGTATGTCTGCTTTTTTCTGTGTATGAATATTAAGTACAGAGAAGCTTTCATTGACCACTGGTGGTATCTTTGGCAATTTTCTTTTTCTACCTCTCTTTCTGGAAGGGGATTTCATTCCATCATTTATTCTATTATCTGCTTTTTCTTTTAGTTCTGCAGGTTCAGCTTCACTCATCCCTACTGATCTTGAATTATCTGATTGGATATAATCAATGAGACTGATAACCTGCAACAGTTGTGCAGCCTCCAACACTTGTTCTCTGGCTGTCATGGGAATATCCAAGTTACCGCAATATATGAAGTCAATAACATAGTGCAAGGCATTAGGTGAAACATGAGGAACAGTTATACTGACACAAGTATCTCGGTGTTCATGGTAGTGCTCACTCAGCACCTGATAAAAGAGAAAATTATACAAGATCACTATTTAAATATTTTACCGCAATAAGTATATACTCTACATCTATTTTTCACACTTGTCGTTCTAGTATACAGCATAGTGGCTCTTACAGAATCACCAAACATCATAAACAAACAACATGAATCCATATATACAGTACCTGAATTCCTAAATAAACACACCCTCTTACACGTGTACTCCTTCATCATAATCCGTCACTTTACACGCAAAAACTCCCCACACTTCTTACATTCTTACTTCCTCTTGTTACTCCCCACACTTCTTACAGTCTTACTCCCTCTTGTTACTCCCCACACTTCATACACTCTTACTCCCTCTTGTTACTCCCCACACTTCATACACTCTTACTCCCTCGTTACTCCCCACACTTCATACTCTTATGCCCTCTTGTTACTCCCCACACTTCATACACTCTTACTCCCTCTTGTTACTCCCCACACTTCATACTCTTACTCCATCTTGTCACTTGCCATACCTCATACACTCTTACTCCCTCGTCACTTCCCACACTTCATACACTCTTACTCCTTCTTGTCACTTCCCACACTTCATACACTCTTACTCCTTTTTGTCACTTCCCACACCTCATACACTCTTACTCCCTCTTGTCACTTCCCACACCTCATACACTCTTACTCCCTCTTGTCACTGACCACATTTCATTGGGCTTAAATATTAATACTAATTATATTACTAGTCTATTATATCTTCAATATTATTATACATCTGAAAAAATACCATTTTCTCATTACTGTATTTCATTATCTACACATCAGGAATCACAGTTACCTTATTAAGGAATGGAGAAGCTGCAGCAAGCATCAATTTGTGGGCTGGAAAGGTAACAGTCTTCTTAAAACATTTATCCGAAGGTACACTGGTAAACAGGTTACGGTCTGTATCTTTCATAATGCAAGAGTCACTCCCCATAGCTCGTAGGTATACATCTACTTCAATGGCATTTTCCTGTAGCTCACTGGCCACCTCCCAAAGGTCTTCAATCTGAGCACCCCAAACAAAATGCTTGGTATCCATCATAAAGTTTCTGAAAGAAAACAAAAGATCATTCAGGATTCTAAAAGAGCAAATAAAGTACTGCACTACTAAAATATCCTGTATAAACACTCGGCACATCTCCACTTTTAATATACAGTATCTAAAACAATTTAACTACAGTAGCTACTTATTAACACCAGAGCAACATAATTTTAATTTTATTCTCAAGTGATTGGCTATACGGTACAGGGAACAGGGAGCACCTCCCACAGGTTGGCCAAACGACTAGCCAAACCCTTATCCAAGGCATTAGGAGCCATCACTGGTGCCCACCTGAAAAATTACAATGATCTTATAGAGACTTAACACCATTAACTTCAACAACAAGAAAATGGCAAGCTTTGATTTTAAATCTACAGTATAGTCTTCATTTACGCGGTCAATTGAACCCGTGGAGGTCCGCGTAAAACAAGAAACGCATAAACGAATTAACAGAACATATGGGATTAATTGAAATAGAGACTGGGCCAACCCCCAAACTACACCTTTTCCAACACAATACGTATGTTGTAGTAAAAATAACATCTTAATTTTATGATGGTATGCACACACAATTATGATTTAAGAGAAATACAGTTGCCAGGTTAATGTCCATTCAAATAATGGACTCAACCCCCCCCCCCCACGCTCGCTGGCTCCTCCCTCTCTGAGAAATGTTTGGGTGAAAACACTAGGTTTTTAGGTTTAGTAATAAATAATACCTCAGACTAAAGTTAGGATAATATAATTGACATTGCTGGATTTCTTGTAAGGCTACCAATAATTTGAATATACTGTAAACGTCATATATTTTGCACAAAAAATAAAATTTTTGCTCTTTCTAATAAAATTCTTAAATTAGATCTAAAATTTGTATATCTAATACAAATTTTAGGATGTTTATATTTAAATTAATCACCATCTTATAAGAATTCCAGCAAAGTATATTATATTCTGGCCAGGTAATTTGTATGAATTTTAAGAGCTAAAAACAAATATCTTCAGTAAATAAACAAATTATACTTCACCCAGACACTATCTGTCAATCAAAATACTGTACCCCACCTCCAGCTCCCCCCCTTCTTCCCACGCTCGCTGGGTCCCTCCCTCCCCCCCACCTTCCCTCCCTACCAGAGAAATGTTTGGGGAAAAACACTAGGCTTACATGTTTAGTAATAAATAATACCTCAGAATAAAGTTAGGATAATATAATTGACATTGCTGGATTCCTTGCAAGACTGCCAATAATTTGAATATAAACGTCATATACTGTATTTTGCACAAAAGATAAAATTTTTGCTCTTTCTAATAAAATTCTTAAATTAGATCTATAATTTGTGCCTAATGCAAATTTTAGGATGTTTATATTTAAATTAATCATCATCTTATAAGAATTCCAGCAATGTAAATTATATTCTGGCCGGGTAATTTCTATGAATTTTATGAGCTAAAAACAAATATCTTCAGTAAATAAACAAATTATACTTCATCCGCGTAAACGATGAAATTTACTGCGTAATTAAAACATTTCATTCTGGCAAGGTGCCGCGTAAATGACCAAACGCGTAAACAAAAACGACGTAAATCAAGACTATACTGTATATTCACCAACGTGCCAGGAGAAGGGACCATAGAGCTGGTGAAGAGAGCAATGGACAACATCACGGACGAGGAGATGCCAGTGCCTAGGGAGGACTTCATCCGACTTGTGACACTGTAAGCTAGATATGGCGCATTCGTTTTCAATGAAGAAGAATACAGTATATGCAACACAATGGCTTAGCCAGGGGCTCCCCTTAGTGCTGTCATGACTTGTCTCTACATGAAGATGCTGGAGGCAGACAACTACACAAGGATTATGGGTGGAGGACCTGAGTGGTATAAATATGTGGATTATCTATTAGTAATTGTACCAAGAGGAAAAGACATAAGAACAAGATGAGTGTTGATCAATATGAGAGGTAATATCCAATTAACAGTGAAGGAAGAGAAAGAAAACAAATAGCCATTCCTAGACACAATAATTTGGAGAACAGAGGAGTGTAAAATACCCAGTCTACTGTAAGCCAACTAACAAAGACAATTTCATCCACTACCTTTCGGCCCAGAGTGAAAGAACAAAATCAGGAGTGGTGATCAGATTTTTCTTAAGGACATGTAGGATATGCAGTGAGGATTGCTAAAAGAAGAATTTGCATATACAGTACGCCTGGATAATTCACAGATTTTTATTTTGTGGTCCTTCGTTATTCGTGGATGACACCCTAGATGTACCCAAAATGTCTAAGGGTAGTTTTAAAGTTGCTGGCATTTTTGCGCCAGAGACAGGGGGCCATTCGTTCCAGACAGTAATGTGTGTGTGTGTAGAAACACACACACACACACACACACACACACACACTACAAATAAATAATAGTAGGAAAATCCTCTCACAAATAAACAGAAAAAATTTATTAAAATTGTTGAGTCTACCCTCAAGTCCACTCCGTACTTTATTAATAACAAAGCACAGAGTGGACTTGAGGGTAGACTCAACAATTTGAATAATTTTTTCTGATTATTTGTGAGAGGATTTTCCCACTATTATTGATTTGCATGTGTTTTGTGTGTGTAATAATAATAATAATAATAATAATAATAATAATAATAATAATAATAATAATTAACAGTTTATTGAAAGAGCATAGCAGCCGGAAGGCTGAAAATATACAGTTACATAATTGGGGAATGGTTTTCGATTTACAAATAATATACAAGTAACATAAATGATACAAATAAGATGCTATAATAACTAGGTGGGGAAAAAGCTCAAACTACAGGGCTTTTCAACATAGTGACCGTGCAAAAAGGTAAGATTGACTGGGAGTGAATACACTGGTTTATTACAAGTTATTGATAATTTTTACAATGGTTGGGACTGGGCTGTTCTTATAGCGATCAGTTCATGCTCGTATGGGCTGGATGCGGTTGTGGTGTCGAACAGCAATTCTCGGGCGAGGGATTTCAGGTGGTTGTAGGAGCCGAGGATGGTGCAGAAGCTTCTCATCAAATTTGCAGATGAAGTCGTGGTAATGGTCAGTGAGAGCCGAGAGGGTCAGTGTGTGTTGATATGTGGAGTAGGAAGGGGAGAGAATGATCTTGCATGCCCTCTTTTGCACTTTTTCTAGGTGTTTACGTTGTGTGGCATTTAGGGAGGAAGACCAGGTAGGGGAGGCATAGGTGAGCTTGGGAAGTATGAATGTTGAGTAAACACTGAGGAGCTCGGGTGCAGGAACTCCGAGGGACTTGAGTCGGCAGAGGAGGTGGAGACGGAAACTGGAGGATTTCACAACTTCACTGACGTGTAGTTTCCAATTTAGTTTGTTGTCTATGGTGATGCCAAGGCGCTTAGTGGAATCTACAACCTGGAGTGTGTTGGGACCTAAAGTAATGGAAGGGGGAGGGACAAAGTCAGAGGAGAGGTTGATATGCATAACCATGATCTTGGTATGGTTGATGGTGACGTGGTTGGTGGCCCAGTTTTGGAGACTGTTCAATAAATCCTGAAGGGCGGTATAGTCGGGAGCAGAATTGTTGACGCTGATCCCAATGGTGGAGTCGTCGACATATTTCCAGCGAGCAGGGGTGGGTGGGTGTGTGTGTGTGTGTGTGTGCACACACTCGGGCCACAGCTTACGCCACACACTGTTCATGTTCTGTTGTGTTATTGCCTCCCATGAATCACTGATGTTTTTATGGCTTTCTTGATGTTCTAGTGTTTTTTCCAAAACTCCCAGATTGTAGGTTTCCCTTCTCCATCAGTCCCCTCAATCAACTGCTCCATGATACGCTGAGTGTAGAGCGCCTTGAATGTAGAGATGACGCCCTGGTCCATAGGTTGCAGCAAAGTCGTGTGTTGGGAGGCAAAAACACAACTTTAATGTTTTACACCAGTCAACCATAGCTGGTGGATGACCTGGTGCATTGTCAATCATCATCAGAGCTTTATCATCAAAATCATTTTCCTTATTATAGCGACTAATGCGACCGGACACATAGTTGAACATATAGTCGTGCATCACAGACCCTGTCACCCACACCTTACTGTTTGAACGCCAGACGACAGGAACTTGTCCCTTCGCAACCCCCCTCAGAACAAGGGGTGTTTCAGACCGGTACACAAGGAGAGGCTTTAACTTCAGGTCACCCTCAGCATTTCCACCAATCAATAGAGTGAGGCGGTCCTTGGCAACTTTGAATCCTGGTGAGGTCTTTTCCTTCTTAGATATGTAGGTCTGTGAAGGCATTTTCTTCCAGAAGAGTCCGGTCTCGTCCAGGTTGACGACTTGCTTAGGACTGTACCCACCCTCCTTAATTATGGTTGCGAGAAATGGTGGGAACTTCTCTGCTGCTTCATGGTCGGCGCTAGCCGATTCTCCTTGCATTTTTAGGTTGTGGATTGATATACGTTTCCTAAATCTATCAAACCATCCACGGCTGGCACTGAACTCAGGTACGTTGGGTTTATCTTTAGTTATATCTTTCCACAGCAATCTTGCCTTCTGTTGAATCATGCATTGCGATAAAGGTGTTTTAAGGCGCTGGGTCTGGTCATCAATCCACGTGCTCAACATCTGCTCCATACTCTCCATTCCAGCATCACGAAACCTCGTCACCTTCGTAGCCGTCAGTGGTGTTGCAGACCTGGCCATCTCCTTGATCTTGTCGGCATTTTTAACTATAAAATGCACCGTAGAGGGAGCTAAGCCGTGCACGCGCCCAATCACTGACGTTCCTTCTCGGTGTTCATGTCTTTTTACAATATCCAATTTCAGGTCCAACATAAATGCCACATGTGATCTCTTAGCAGCATTGAAGGGAGTTTTCGTAGCTGGTCGCTTCGGCATTATGATATCACACAAAACACACACCAGCATGTGTGAGACTGAGGCAAGTGAGAACGTATGGCGCAGGAATACGTACACACATACACACGCTGTCCTACGCTACGGTTGAGGCGCGCGGTTCAAAATTTTTGCTCATAAGAATTTGCGAATAAACGGGGCAACCATTGCGAATTGTGGAAATTGGTAACAATAAATTTATTGCGGATAAACGGGGTTACGAATACCGAGGCTATGAATAACGGGGTTTGCTTGTACAGTCGGCCCTTAACATATGCAGGTTTAGCATACACGGATTTGCAAATACAGTATGCGGATTGCCCCGCCGGAGGAATATTCTGTAGATTGAAATAATTGAAGTACATTCAAATCGCGCGCGGCACAAAACACTGCACACCGCCCGCTACCCCACACACGCATAGCGCGTCACGCCACCCCGCGCTCCCTCACTCAGTCAGTCTCGCTGTAACCACGCTTGTTAACATCAGAATTGTAGTTGCTACCCTTGCTACCCACATTTACCATGGCCCCTAAAAGAGCATCAAAGACACCAGCTGGAGTCACCCCTAAGTGCCAGAAAGTGATGACTCTGCAGGAGAAGGTGGAGTTGCTCCATACAAAAACATCATGGAAGAAATGAAAAGAAAGAGACGACAACTCCCCGTCACCATGTTCTTTGATCGCCGAAGGAGAGATTTAACACCATCAATCACTGGCGGCAGTGAGGAAGCAGCTGAACCCAACGTCGCCCCCACTTCACCACCCGTTATGGAATTGAGTGACGATGACCCCGATGACCCCCCTCCTGTCGCCGAGGAGAGGTACGGTACAGTAAAGTGAAATTTTTATCTCTTTTTTTATAGCTTTTCTTGCCATGTTTATTGTTTGTAAAAATGCACAGCACAGTACAGTTCAGTACTGTACATAGGAAGTGGAGGTGCAGTTATTCACAAAACATTTGTGTTTGTTGTCGGCAGTAGTGACGATGTGGAGGCGGAGGGATAGAGCAGGGAGGAGTGGTGACGCTGGACGCGGGAGCAGGGACGAGTGGAGATGCCAGCCAGTACATTACGGGTGTATTAATTGTTTTTATAGCTGTTTTTGCATTTTAATATCAAATACTGTACATTACGTTTCAACAAAACTACTATTTATTTCTGAAAATATGGAAATGTAATATTTTTGCTGAAATGACGTACGTATTACAGTGGAAAGTGGGATAAAATTGTGACGAAAGCAATAAATTTCGCTTTCTTTCGTTCAAAAGACGTTACCGTAATCGCTTTTCGAATGGTTTTCAGTTGTGGGATTATGAGGCTAATGATAAGATAGAATATTATTGTAATACAATACAGTTAACCCTCACTTTACGCGGTCCTACATTCCGCGTTTCCACGTTTACGCGGTGCCCTGCCGGAACCCAGGATGCTCACATTCCGCGGTGCGTTTACCCATTTACGCGGAGAGCGGCTGGCGAGCCGCGCCATTTTTTGATCCAAACCTCCCGCCATCCGCCATGTTGTGTAAGCGGCGCGAACATGGTGCGCACAAGGTCGCCCAGTCATCAAAACATTACCAGTTCTTCACCCGCCACCCACCACAGCCGGCCCAAGTCAGTGATAGTGATAATTATGGTGAGGATATGGACTTATATGGACTTTGGGGAGTTTGACAAAGAGGCCCTGCAAGCCTCTGTGGTGGATAGTGATACAATTGATACAAGTGACACAGGTGAGGGCCAATAATCTGCCCTCTGCCTCGGAACCAACCGCCCATCCCCGTGTGCCCAGCCATTTTTTCTACTAATGTAAGTGTTAAAAAACCTAATATTATTGATATTTCTCTTAATTATTAATTGTGTGTGCATACCATCATAAAGTTAAGATAATATTTTTACTACAACATAGTTGTGTGTCGTCAAAAAGTGGAGTTTGGGGATCGGCCCGGACTCCATTTCAATTAATCCCATATGTTATGTTATTCACTTTACGCGTTTCTCACTTTACGCGGGACCCTCCGGGTTACATTAACCGCGTAAAGTGAGGGCTAACTGTACAGTACAACAGTTTTTTAACTGAAAACCATTCGAAAAGCGATTACGGTAAAATCTTTTGAATAACGAAAGAAAGCGAAAGTCATTGTTTTCGTCATGATTTTATCCCACTTTCCACTGTAATATGTACGTCATTTCAGCAAAAATATTACATTTCCATATTTATTTCTGAGAATATAATATATTCATTCAGTCACAGTTAAGGTAAAATATACTTGTGATGTAATATTCTAATGAAAATACCCGGTACAGTAAACCTCCGCTTAACGCGGTTTCACTTCACGCGTTTCCACGTTTACGCGGTACCCTGCCGAAACCGGAATGCTCACATTCCGCGGTGCGTGTACCCATTTACGCGGAGAGCGGCTGGCGAGCCGCGCCATTTTTGGATCCAAACCTCCCGCCATCCGCCATGTTGTGTAAGCGGCGCGAACATGGTGCGCACAAGGTCGCCCAGTCATCAAAACATTACCAGTTCTTCACCCGCCACCCACCACAGCCGGCCCAAGTCAGTGATAGTGATAATGATAGTGAAGATATGGACTTATATGGACTTTGAGGGGTTTGACAAAGAGGCCCTGCAAGCCTCTGTGGTGGAGAGTGATACAATTGATACAAGTGATACAGGTGAGGGCCAATAATCTGCCCTCTGCCTCGGAACCAACCCCCCATCCCCGTGTGCCCAGCCATCTTTTCTACTAATGTAAGTGTTAAAAAACCTAATATTATTGATATTTCTCTTAATTACTAATTGTGTGTGCATACCATCATAAAATTAAGAAGTTATTTTTACTACAACGTAGGTATTGTGTCTGAAAAAGTGGAGTTTGGGGGTCGGCCCGGTCTCTATTTCAATTAATCCCATATGTTATGTTGTTCACTTTACGCATTTCTCACTTTACGAGGGCCGCCGTGGGTTCCATTGACCGCGTAAAGTGAGGGTTCACTGTATTTAGAAATACGGTATCGTAGTTTTCTTTTGTTTCAAATTTAATTAACAAAGATTGATGTTTCAAATGTAATGAACAAAAATTTATGTACAGTATCTATAAATAAACTTAAACAAATGAATACTTTATGTTTTACATCGTCCTGTGTATACCATACCATGCATTTGGCTACTTTGAGCTAGCTATGATGACGCAAGAGATCTGCCCTGGCATCTGTACCGACACTCACAGCTGGTGGTGAGTCGTTTCCATTGTTTACTGGTAGTTACTGGTATATATTTTTCAACCTAACGAAACTGTTACCCGTTTAGAGGTCGACCCACAATTTTTTGCCAAAAAATTTGGTCTTAAAAACTCGAACTACACACAGGTATATACGGTAAGTAAGGACATGGGGGGCCAGGGGTTTGGGGGGGCAGCAAAAATACACGGATTTTTAACATTCACGGGTATCTCTGTTACCTAACCCCTGAGTATGTTAAGGGCCGACTGTACTTCCATCCTAGGATTGGTTGGTTCATTTTGTCTACGACAAATCATAGAATGTAAACAGTCTATACGGTGTCCATGGATTAGGAAATAAGATTGTAACCACTGAACTACCCATTCAATTAAGAACTTTTCTTTTTACTCAGTATTGCATTAACCTACAGCCATCATATCCACTGGTTAACCCAGACCGTTCCAATGCACAACTGAGGGGATAAAAGTAAACGAAGTACAGTACCAAAAATACACACCATGTGGTACAGGAAAAGCACACACTTACGATGGCACCCCTATTTCATTGAAGTATTATTTACTTTTTTATAGGTAATACAGCTCCTCCCCGACTTACGACCTACCCGTCCTACGTCCACCCGCACTTACAACCTGCTCTGTCAGTAACGACCATCCGCACATACGACCACGCAGTCGGGACCAAAAAATATTTCAAACGACGCGCGCATTTTCTATACCAAAATTTTTCCGTCCCATACGAGAGCGTGGTTTGGGTCACCGCAAGGGTACAGCTCCCATGCAGTAGAGCGCTTAATTGGTGTTTGGCTGTCGTATCTGCAACTGATCGCGCTGTGTACCGACATTATTTTCGTACCTAATTGACTTTATAATGACTGGAAAGCGTAGAAGTGAGAGTGGTGGTGGTGCTCAGAAGAAAAAGGAGACAGTCAATTTCTTTTGAGACGAAAATGAAGATAATAATGAAGTATGAAAATGGAAAATCTGTAGCAACAATTTCACACGACCTAGGGTTTTCGCATTCGACCATATCCACTATTCTGAAGGACAAGGAACGTATTTGTGATGTAATGAAAGAATCAGCACCCATAAAGGGAACTATAATTAAGAAGAAAAGACAAGGTCCCATTCACGAGATGGAAAAATTATTGGTGATATGGATGGAAGACCAGATACAGAAGCGTGTACCCTTAAGCCTTCTAACTTTACAGGCTAAGGCAAGAAGCCTGCTCGAAAGCCTGAAGGAGCAGGCAGGAGATGAGTGCGAACAAACCTTCACAGCAAGTCATGGGTGGTTTCATAGGTTTAAGAACAGCAACAGTTTACATAATGTTAAGGTGAGTGGAGAGGCAGCTAGTGCTGATGTTGATGCTGCCAAGGCTTTTAAGAAGCTAGATCGTGTGATTGTGGAAGGAAATTATTTGCCTGAGCAAATATTCAATGTGGATGAAACTGAATTATTGTGGAAGCGCATGCCTGGACGGACATACATCCACAAAGAGGCAAAAACAATGCCAGGGTTCAAGGCATTCGAGGACCGAATTACACTTCTGTTGGGGGGGGGGGAATGTTGCTGGTTTCAAGATCAAGCCCTTCATGATCTATCATTCAGAGAACCCCAGGGCTTTTAAACATGTCAGCAAGCACACACTGCCAGTGTTTTGTCGCAGTAACAAGAAAGCCTGGATGACCCTAGTACTGTTTGAGGATTGGTTCATGAATTGTTTCATTCCTCGAGCCAAGGAGTATTGTCTGCAACA